ACTCGGGCCCGTATGAGGCGTCGTAGTTCGTGGACGGCCCAAGCGAGCAGCACGCGTCGGCGAGCCGCCCTGAGCCACTCAAGACCTCCAAGAAGACGAGATCGCGCTCATCCTCCGTCGGCACAAAATGAGGGACCGCTTCCACGGTCGAACCAACGAGGTACAGCAAGAGCGCATATTGAGCTCGCTGAAGGCGCCGCCATCGGTCTGGGAGGAAAAACTTGGCCGCGATGTGTTCGCGTAGCTCCAAATCTGGCATAGCGAGTGCCCAGTCGCCGCTACGGCGATGACGCGTGGAGCCAAAATGGGCTGATGATGCATATGATGTTGATGTTGGGAGGTTGGGAGGTTGGGAGGCTGGAACGACACTGATGTGAGGATGGGAGGTTGGGACGACAATGATGCGAGGATTGGAGGTTGGGACGACAATGATGCGATGATGGGAGGTTGGGACGACAATGATGCGAGGATGGGAGGTTGGGATGTTGAATTATTGGATACAGAGAGGTTGGGAGGTTGACTTATGGGAGGTTGAAGGGTGGAAGTATAGTGATGATGACGCTGATGACGTGTGCCACGATGACGCTGACGACGTGTGCCCCTATTTCCTCCCTGTCCTCATTATCGTCCCTGGCCTCACTTTCCGCATACCTCTCTCGACATTCCTCCCTATCCTCCATATCCTCCTCCTCCTCCTCCTCCTCATCCATCCACCTCCTTATTCCCGTCCACTCCATCCACCACATTATCCACCTCCTCCTTATCCGCCTCCATCCTTCCTCCCCTGTTCACGTATCCATCCACCTCATTATTCCCCCTCCTCCTTCGCCGCCATCCTCATCGTCGGGGCTGTCGGGGGGGGGTCCTTCATGGCCTTGTCGGAGATCGGCTGCTCGATCTTGCGCGTGCGCATGGTCGAGTCGTCCTGGCTGAGGGTGACTTCCTCATCTTCCTGATTCTCCCCCTTCTCCTCCTCATCTCCCCTCCACCTACTCCCCCACGTGCTCCTCGCCCTTCTACTCATCCTCATCGTCACCCTCCCCCCCCTCCCCCTCCCCCTTTCCCCCTCCTCCGTCTTCTCCCCCATCTCCTTCTCCTCCTGGCCCCACTCGGATTCTTGGCGTCGGTGAGAGGACGGGGGCAATGATGAGGATAATGAGGATGAGGGGGAGGGGGGGACGATGAGGAGGAGTAAGTAGACGGGGGTGGAGGAGGAGGAGGAGGAGGAGGAAGATGAACGCGTGGGAGGATGATGATGGGGACGCTGATGATGAGGGCGACAAACGTTTGCAAACGTTTGCAAACGTTTGCAAACGTTTGCAAACGTGTACAAACGTTTGCAAACGTTTGCAAACGTTTGCAAACGTTTGCAAACGGGATGTTCCAGGGTAAAACAAACAGCAATCCGACCCGTCCTCGGCGGCGTCGTCGTCCGACTGCACCTCGGCGTGGTCGTCCGACTTCACCTCGGCGTGGTCGTCCGACTTCACCTCGGCGTGGTCGTCCGACTTCACCTCAACGTGGTCGTCCGACTGCACCTCGTCGTGGTCGTCCGACTGCACCTCGTGGTCGTCCGACTGCACCTCGTGGTCGTCCGACTGCACCTCGTCGTCGTCCGACTGCACCTCGTCGTCCAGCTGCACCTTGTCGAGCGGCTTGCACGACGGCCTCGGAGTGTCCTGGCGGATGTGCCCAATTTGACAATACTTGGGCCACAGTTGGGCCCAAGTATTGTCAAATCGGGCCCTCAAGGGCACAGTTTTCAAACTGTCGAACACAAAAACTCCAAATTCCTCCATCCATCCTCCACGTATCCGTCCATCCATCCATCCCCTATCCTTCACCAACCCTCTACTCATCTATCCTCTGTCATCCTATCCTCCATCCACCCTTCATCCTCCTCACCCAAACTTCCATCACCATATCCCTTTTGCAAGCGCGCGTCTCCGTCAGCACGATCGACATCGCGCTTGCAGAACGCCTCAAGCTCGGAGCCCGCGAGGACGCCCTTGACGAGTGACGCGAGCCGCGTCGCGCCATCTCGACGACGTCGACGGGGATGGGGGGCTTCCCCATCAGGTGGAGGAAGAACTGAATGGAGTCCACCTGGTCGTCCGTCGTGCAGCTCGAAACAGCCTCGCAATCTGAGGTGAGAGGATGAGGTAGATAGGGAAACGTTGTTTGAAGGAGGGGATGGGAGAATCGAAAAGAAAGGAAGGAGGGTGGGTCGAACAAAACGATGGGACACTACCTCCGCCATCATCCCACATCCCCATCCTCATTCTCATCATCCTCCTCATCCTCCTCCTCGTCCTCCCCAGCATCCTCGTAACCTGATCCTCATCATCATACCCAGCGTACGTTTTAACCATCCTAGTCCTACCATGCCTCTTCCTCCTTCTCATCCTCCTCATCCTCATCCTCCTACCATGCCTCCTCATCCTCCTCTTAACCATCCGCAGCCTGGCGCTGGCGGAGAGCACTATCTCGAACTCGTCGAAGATGTTTGAGGATCGTCAGCAACTTGTCCGCGAGGCTGCCAGCGCGCTCGCAGTCGGACGCCGTCCTCGTCTCCTTCACACACCTCGGGAACCTCGTTTTGAGGAGTGGGAAGAGGTGCGGATGAGGAGAAGGAGGAGGAAGAGGAGGCGGAGGAGAAGGAAGAGGAGGAGGAGGAGGAGGAGGAGGAGGAGGAGGAGGAGGAGGAGGAGGAGGAGGTAGAAGTGGAGGTAGAACATGAGGTATAAGTGGAGGTAGAAGAGGGGGCAGACGAGGAGGAGGAGGAGGAGGAGGACAAATAGGAGGTGGGGAAAGAGGGTGACGACGATGACGAGGGAATGACGTCGGGGAATGTGAAGGGCGGTGGGAACCGGCACACCGCTCTGACGCACGCGGCCCTCATGATGGTGAAGTTGCACTCGACATCTGGGATCGAGCGCAGGAGTACTTCTACCTTCACGGGGCTGGGGGAAGGGGGTGGCCTTTCTTTCCCATGCCCATGCCCCTCCTCATCTACCTCCTCCTTCTTCTCTACCTCCCTCGTCATCCTCCTCGTCTGCCTCCTCTTCTACCTCCGCTTTTACCTCATTTTCTACCTCCACTTCTACCTCCTCCTCCTCCTTCTCCTCCGCCTCCTCTTCCTCTTCCTCTTCCTCCTCCTCCTCCTCATCATCATCATCAGCATCATCATCATCCGTCCTCGTCGGTTTCTAGTGGAAGACACCTTCAAGCACCCAAGATCACGTACAGGCCCGTGGTGCCCACCTGGCGGTACTCCTGGTACCTTGGGTGGGGGCGGTTGGAAGCGAAGCACATGGCATCGCTTCTTGATCTCATTATTTGTGAAAACAGTGCGAAACATGAAAAAAGTGAAAACAGCGATGCGCTGAATGTGTTTTGTTTTTGAAACACGGGGCGCCCCGTCAGGACGCCAAACGACCACCAGAGGCGCAAGTGGTCTACAGCACCGCCAACACACACAAGCTGCAAGCACCTGCACGACTCGAAATATGGATAAGGTTGAACGCGGTGCTCGATCCAGCAGTCGCTCGCGACATCCTGGCCGACAGAGTACGCCTTCGGTACCCATGGGTGGAGATCGGGGCTCACCGTAAAGAACGGAAGGTGTACAGTGCGAGGTGCCGACATGACTCCTAACGTATTTGAGTCTATCGACTTTGAGCCTAACGTGCATGATCGTCATCATCAGCATCATCATCATCATCATCATCATCACCATCACCATCACCATCACCATCACCATCACCATCACCATCACCATCACCGCCATCATCCTACTCATTTTCCTACTCCTCCCCCTACTCCTACTCCCCCTACTCCTTCTCCCATGCCCATCCCCTTTTGGTTGCACGACCACCAAGTCCCGCATATCATGCAATGCCGGAGCCGATACCGCGGAGTCCCGAGCCAGGAAGTTGTACACCCCGAGGTTGAAGGCGTGCTTGACGCCAGAACACTCGACATGGCTCACAAGAGCCTCGCCGAGCTTTTTGCCGTCAACCTTGGCCCTGGACATCGCGGAGGGAGATCGTGGCAGCGAACACCGCACCACGATTATAGTTACCTCCCAAACTCATATTAAGGACGCAGTGGGGTGGGGGTGGTGGGGCGGGCGAGGGGGGCGCATTGATCCCTGGAAATGTTTTGATGAAGGGGAGTGGTGGCGGGGGAGAGGGGGGCGGGGGAAGGGGGCGGAAGGCCCCCTGACCGTATATTGATCCATGGAAATGCGTTTGATGAGGGGAAGGGGGCGGGGGAAGGGGGGAAAGGGGCGAACGGCCCCCTGACCCCCCCTGAGGCTAGGCGTTCGCTGCATCGATCTGGCGGCCACGCCGCAGACACGGAGCCGAAGGCTCCCCAAAGCCAAAATGGCTGCATCATCATCTTCCTCTCCCGCTTCCTCTCCCTAATCCCCTCCCTCCTCATTTCCCTCCTCCTCCTCCTCCTCCTCCTCCTCCTCCTCTTCCTCCTTCTCCTCCTCCTCCTCCTCCTCTCCCTCCCTCCTCCCATCACTATGTACTGATTCCTGAACGCACATCCGAGCCAACAAACGTTTGCAAACGTTTGCAAACGTGTAAGTTTTCTTCAACAAACGTTTGCAAACGTTTGCAAACGTTTGTCGACCGCACACGATACGGGCACAAACGTTTGTCTTGAAATCGGTAGCGCTATATCGAAAATCGGTAGCGTTAACCACCAAAATCGGTAGCGTTAACACCAACCGCTACCGATTTTCGTCGGTAGCGTTAGGTGCTAACGCTACCGATTTTGTTCGGAAATTAGTGAAAATCGGTAGTGATCTAACGCTACCGAAATTTTTCGGTAGCGGATGATCTGGGAGCAGTAGGCCGGTCCTGGGCGGAGCGGGGTCTGCAGGGGGCCCCTCGCGGCCCCGGAGGTGAGCCGGGTTTGGGAAGCCCCGCCAGAAGTGGCAGAGCAGTTTTTTGGACCCTGGCTGGGGGCAGCCCACGCCAAGCAAGGGCAGCGGGAACACCTACGGCGGCGAGCTCGCGCTGGCCTCGTTTCGGGCGCGCGGCTTCCGCCTGGTGGAGGACGACAGCTGGGACGTGCTGTGGACGCACTTCTGGGAGGCCGGGAGGCGGCACGGTCCGAGGCCTTCGGGGGTCCGCGCGGGTTCCTGTGGCCGGGGGTGGGCCCCCGTCGGAGGCGGGCCCCACGCCGACAGAGGCAGGGGCCCCGCTCTCGGACCCCCGAAGGGTTGCGTTCCTGCCGTGCTCTGGGGCCGCCCGACGTCAGCATGCACAAGGTGCTCGACGGCATGGCCCTGCCACCGCGGACGGGCGGGCGCGACCGCCTGGCCAGCCAGTGCGGCTACTTCATGGCCGCCGGCCAGAAGTGCCGGCTGGCGCGACACGTGGCCGCCGTGCGCGCGGCGCTCGGCGGCTCCGTGGAGGGCCGCCATCCGCCGACGTACGAGCTGAAGAACCAGACGCAGTTCAACGCGTGGAGGGCGGCCGCGCAGAGCGACCTGGGCCTCCACTGGATCGTGAAGCCGTGCGCGGCTGGCCGCTCGGCTGGGATACGGCTGCTCAGCGGTTCGGAGGTCGCGGGCATCGCGGAGCTCAGAGGAGGGAAAGGTACCGATGCCGCGTCCCGTCCTGGAGAGCTCTCGTCGCCACGGCTGGATTCGCCTTGAAAGGAGTAGCGGCAGGTGGACCGATTTGGCCAGAACGCCAGCTGGGACTGAGCTCGAGGCTAGTCTTTGACATTCCCAAGGGTGCCCGATTCCCCCGCTTTTCCAGCCGCTTCTGTTTCGCTTGATTCTGGGCGCTCCGGCCCCGCATCCGAATCCCGCTCAGTCCCCTCGCGTGGACACTGGTGCGGGCAGCGCTAGCGTCAGCGTCAGCGTCAGGAGCCCGCCTGGGACTCCTGGGACGTGGCCCAGGCCTACCTGGACCCGTACATGGGCTTCGGAGGCAGGAAGTTCCACCTCAGGCTCTACCTCTTGGTGACGCGCTGGAGCCCGGCGGGCGCTCTCCTGTACGACTCGGGGCTCGTGCTGCGCAGCCGCCGCGCGTACACGGAGGGGCGGCGCAGCGACGAGGACATCTTCTCGGCCATCTCCGACGACGTGGAGCCGCTTGCACTGGCGGCGCTGTGGGGGCAGATCGGCGGGGAGGCCGCCGGCCGCGTGTGGTCGGAGATCGGGGCCCTCTTCGCGGAGCTGCTCGGCCACCGGCTGGCGGAGTCCTTCGGGGACCCGCGGAGGCTGCTGGAGAGGCCCTACGGGTGCTTCGACCTCTTCGGGGCCGACGTCCTGCTCGACGCCGGGCTGCGGCCCTTCCTGCTGGAGGTGAACATGGGGCCCAACCTGTACGTCGAGGGGCGGGGCGCGTACAGGGAGGTGCTCCGGCAGGTGAAGGCCCCGCTGGTGGAGCAGGCGAGCGCCGCAGACCAACGGGCTCGAGTGCGCGGCGCTCGCGCGCGTAACTGAGCTGCCCGCCCAGGGGTCGCGCGGAAGTGCCCTCCGCGCGGTGTGCCACGCTGGCGGCCCGCGGAAGTCGCGGCGCAGGGGTCGCTTGGCGGTTCCATTCTGCGCAAGGCCCGTCCCTTTTTTGTCGCTCAGGTGGTGGACTGGCTCGCGCTGCGGGCGCGGCGCGCGCCGCAGGGCCGCGAGGCTGCAGAGGCTCTGGAGGCGTCGACGCTGCTGAACTTCACGCGCGTGCTGTAGCCGCCTCCGCGCCGCGCCGGCGGGGCGATCGAGGCTGGCGCCGCGCACTGCCGGTCGCCCCAGCGGGCCGTGCCCTCGGTGGTGCTGCCAGCGCAGGGCGGCCCCTCTGGCGAGAAAAAGAGGGCTTCACCCCTCTGGTGTGCAGTGTGTGCGCGTGTGCGCTGACGGCCCGCCGATATGCGCACGGGTGTTCGGCGGCGCCTCCCTCCTCATCCCCTAAGCAGTGGCGAAGCGTCCCGGCGTGTTTATAGGCCTACCAGCAAATGTTCTAAGAACCTTTTGTGGTTTCCGCGAAATGTTTTTGGAACATTTCTGGCGGAGTCTGTCTTGTTTTAACACATCGGGCTTAGGTTCGAAGAACATTGCTTTTGTTCTTAGAACATGTCCGGGTTCCAAGAACATTTCGTGGTAGGACTATAGGATTGCCGGGACGGTCGGTCCCTGCTCAACATCCCTTTCTCATCCTCAGTGCACTTGCTGTCAGGATTTTTTACGCAGCGTGTCGCTCTGCTGGTTCTGGCCCCCAGCGCTCTGGCGCGACACGCTATCCGCGTCCCCGAGCGTCAGCTTCCCGAGCCTGCCGAGCCTTCCGAGCCCCGCGGCGAGGAGAGCGACGCGCTAATTACCCGCTCCCAGAGCACAGCGTGTCGCCGGGGCCACCGCCGCGACACGCTGAGCTTAAGTCGGGCCTGTCCCTCTACAGGGGAATGTTCAAAAATAGTCTCAAAATCGTATTGGACTATTTTTTGAGTTTTGTTGGGCATCTTTTCAGCATTTTTGGAATACTTGTTTCGTCCAAAATCCCCCTGTAGGGGGACAGGCCCGACCTAAGGCTAAGCAACAGTTCCCGGCCGTATCTTTCTCCTTCTCCATATCCTTCCCCTTTTGCCGAGGCACCATCCTTCGAGGCCACATTACTTACTTGGAGAGGCCTCACGGCCATTCTGCTGGCCCTGCGTGAGGATCTACAGGAAGCGCGACAGGAATGCCCCGGATAAGTCGCGGACTCGTGATGGATGTTCCAGTTCATAAAGGGGGCTCTCGCGTCCCTTGTCCTCTCTGGGGTGGGGATCAGCGCTCCAAGCGGCGAAGTATTTGCTTCTTCCCCCGGAGGATGTTCGTCGTTGGCGTCGTCGTTCGTTGTCGTTGACGTCGTCGTCGTCGTCGTCGTCGCCGTCGTTGTCGTCGTCGTCATCGTCGACATACAGTCAACCCGCCTAGTATGGATGGGCAACCTTCCCAAGGATACCCTTGCATCTTTGCCTCCTCGGTCTATCATTGGCTAATTTGCCACTTTCGTCGGCCGCGCCCGGCTCGAGAAGCTTCGACATGGGCGTCCAAGGCCCTTGCATCTTTATAGCGCATCCTGATGATACGGGTCGACTGTAGTCGTCGTCGCCACGGCGTTGCGTTACACACCCTCTTCGCTCCTCATCTTCATCGTCGTTGTCGTTGTCGTAGTCGTCGTAGTCGAAGTCGTCGTTGTCGTGGTGGTGGTCGTCGTCGTCGTCGACAACGACGTCGTCGTCACGCCCCCCCTGCTCTCCCTCCTGTTGACCTGTTGCAATTCGCTCCTCGCTCTTCGGCGTTGTCGTCACGGAGTTGCGTTGCCCCCCCGTTCCCCCTCCGAGCTGATGCCCGCTACTGTTCGCCTGGTGTCAACGAACGGCTCATTTGTGGGGTTCTCTTGGGAGGCCCGTTAAATGTCTGTTTCTGAGGTCTCCTGTGGCCTCTTGGGGGTGCATCGAGGGCCTTCCATGGTGTTCTTGGGGGTCTTCCGCGGGCCTGCTGCCGATCTCGGAGGCTATATTTAGAGGAATGGCTCGACATTGTACTTCAGGTTCCCCTCTGGAGTCCGTGTCGGGGGCCTCTTAGGGGGCGTTTTGGGAGCCTCGTGGGCCCTCTCCGGGGGCTTCTTGAGCCGTCTAGGCTGTTTGGTGGCCCTCTCCTCTTGAGTTGTCTTGAGGCGCACTTGAGGGCCTGTTTAACCTGTCTTGGGTAGTCCGAACCAAGTAATAGCGAGAACGCGAGAGGTAAAGTGAATTTGGGTCCTCTAGGAGCCCTCTTGGGGCGTCTTGGGAATTTCTTGGGGCCGTGTTGGAGCGTTCTTGGACCGTTTTGGGCCCTTCTTGGACCGCCTGAGACCCAAGTTGCAGACCAAAAGGACAACCCTTGCCAGAACATGACCCGAACGGGGAGGGGGGGAGGGGCCGTATTCTGACCCGGGACCCCCCCGAGACCTCCTCCCCCCCGGGCGGGGACGGAACCAAAGGGAAGGGGAGTTCCCTTTGACTCACTTGAGACCTCAGCTACAGACTGGCTCGACTCAACTCGGGTTGGCGAGTTTGGAGAGCCACAGGTTGCCGCTGTGGAAGGGAGGCTGAGCTTCGAGTGAAAGGTTGACCCCAGTTCCGCCATGGGACGTCCTGCCAACAATTCCCCCTGACACATGCTGACAGGGTCGGCGGACTGTCCTTGCCCGTCTCCTTGTCCTTGTCATTGTCGTATCGATCGTCCTCGTTGGAGCGGGAAGTATCCTCCTGGTCATAGTCGTCGTCATCATCATATGATTAGTATTGTCATTATGATTTGCATTCGTATGACTACTCTTCTTCATCGTTATCATTATCATACTCGGCATCATCATCAGTAGCATCATCATCATCATCATCATCATCATCATCATCATCATCATCATCATCATCCGCATCCTCATCATCCGTATCCTCATCATAGTCATCAGCACCATTAACCTCACCATCAACGTCATCATCGACACCACAATAATCATCTCCATCATCACCATTATCATGAGTATCCTCATCACCAGCATCATCATTATCAGCATCGCCATCATCACCATCGACATCATCAGCATCTTCATCATCACCATCAGCATCATCAGCATCTACGCCATCCTCATCAACAAGTACATCATCCACCATCATCACCACAAACAACATCAGCATCAACAACATCATCAGCAGCAGCAGCATCGTCGTCATCATCAACACCATCAGCATCATCAGCAACACAAGCATTATCAGTATCTCCATAAGCACCACCACCAACACATGATATGCATCGTCATCATCACCATCATTATCATTATCATCATCATCACCATCACCATCACCATCATCATCATCTTCATCACCATCATCATCAACAGCAACACCATCATCAGCAGCATCAGCATTCTTGTCACGCGCATCCACGTCAGCTCATCGCGCTCATGCTTGCGTCGTTGCGCTCAGCTTTCCCCGTCCGGCGCGTGGGGGTCAGTGGTACTGGCTCGGCTCCGGGCCTGTGGCTCCCGGGGGACCAGCCCAGTTGGTGTGCGGGCGGGGAGGCCTCGGGGGCCTAGGGACTGGGGCCCAGCGGCGCCGCCGCCTGCGGCCAGCGATTTCTGTCGTTTTAGAACTTCGCGCAAGTGCCCAACTCGTGTATCTGCGCATGGAAGGAGGGCTGGGCAAGTTTTGGTTCTTTCCGTCTGCATCTCCTCTGCCCTGCTTCTCCATGATGTGGCTCGATCCTCCTCCGCCCCCTTCTCCCTATGCTTCCCTTTCTCCTTCTTTTCTTGTTCGCCGGATCGGTAAGTTCATCGGTATTTGACATTATCCTGCGTTTTTTCGTGCTCCGAATTCTTCCCACGGTTGGTTGCCATGTTGGTATTTCCATCATTGTAGCTATATGTCCTTCTTCTGTTATCCTGCTTCTCCGCATGTTTGCCCGTTTTTCTCCTTCGGTTACGCCTTCCCATCTCTCATCAGATCCTTGTCTTTCCTTGTACTTGTATCACTGTCCTTATCATTGCCCTTGCTCTGCCGTCCCCTTTTCCTTCTGCTCCCTTTGCTCGCCATTCTTCTACATCTCCTTACTTCTTTCCCCGGCCAAGCGCGAGTTCCTTCGGTTTGAGTCAGTGCTCTGCCACCCGAGTTGAGACAGTGGCCAGCCACCGAAGACAGGAGGGCGCTGATGCGGGCCTCGTCAGCGCCGTCGCCGGACACCACATCCGCCATGACGACCAGACGAGGCGATGGTGCCCCGAGCCGCCGCCACGCACAGCCTCGCTGCTGGCGCCCGTGGCTGGCGCCGAGCAGCCGAGCAGTGCCACCGCCGTGCCCCTGCGCCAGGCCGCCGTGAGCCACCTTCGGCCTGAGGCCCCGCACCGACCCCCCCTTAGAATGCAGCTGTCGGGAGGTCAGATTCCGAATCGGCGCCGGTGTGCCCCCTGGTCGGAAGCTGGCACAGTGGCCGCATCCCGCTTGGTCTGGCCCATGCCCGCTGAGTCTGGTTCGATCCCGCTCCATCTGGCTCAGTTTCAGGCTTCATCCGCCCTAGTCGGGCTCAGCGGTCCTTCAATCGAGCTCAACAGCCCTTCATCGTCTTGACGAAGACCTCCCAGGAGGTGCCTCCTCAGGCCCCCCGCCGCACTGACAGTCCTATGCTCCCCCACCGCCGCGGAGCTCGCGGCCGCGGCGCACGCCGCCGTCGCGGCGGCCGCACCCCGCCCAGGTCGAGGTCGCCGCCGCCGACCCGATGTGGTCCTTAAGTACGATGGGGGCAACACAACCGTAGGTCATGTCGCCACGCCGCCACCGCTCGCTGCCCCGCCAGCAGGCCGTGCTAGTCGCGCTGTGCTGCCAGCCGACCGTCTGCCAGTCGCTGCTGCCGCGCGTGTCAGGGTCCACCCCGTGGGCCATCCCACCCCATCTCCTTCCGTGCGCGTGTGGCCTCGCTGCCGCACGGGCATGCGGGGGGCGTGTGCCCTGGATGCTTCGACTCGGCGCCAACCCCGGGTGCCGTCCTCCGCCCTTCTCCTCATCCGCCTGCTCCTCCCTTCCCGCGTGCTTATACCCGCTTCCGTGCTGCTCCTCCCGATGTCCCCCTCCCGGTTCTGCACCCGATCTCTCTCTCCCACGCCCTGCAGGCCACCCACGGGGGGCTCGAAGATCACCGCGCTTCCCTCATCGCGGCCTGGGCCAGAGCAGCTGCCCCTCGCCCAGGTGGCGGCGCGCGGGCGCGCGGGCGCGCACAGCATCCGCGCAAGCGCGAGGCGCGGTGCGCGAACCCCGGGGCGGCCTTCCCCGGGGCGGCTGCCCTGCTGGTGCCGCTGCCCTCGTTGCCCTCCCCCTGCCATTGCGGCATCCGCGCGGCAGGCGATGGACCAGCTCTCGACGCTGGAGTTCGGCCCGGGAGGCCCTCGGCATGCTCGAGACTCCTCCTCTTCTGGGGAGCTGGAAGGGGAGGGCCGGGCTCCGCTTCAGCATCGCCCACCCCCGGGGCTCCCGGGTGGGGTCAGAGGTCAGATGGGGTCGGAGGAGCGAGCCGCATCGCTGATGTGCGGCTCGCTGCGGAGAAAGGCTTGCTTTCTCCGCGCCGCCAGCCCAGGTGCATGGCCGATGCATCGGTGATGCATCGACGATGCGGCGCGCTCCTCCAGCCCGCTCTGCTCCGACCTCATCCGGGCGGCGATCCGCCACC